ACACCGAAGGGCTAGAGCTATCGGCCACCGTCGCAGCAACAAGGGTAACAGCGAGCCACCGAAGAAAGGCAGTCAAGTGCCGAGCCAAGCTGCCACCCGCCACCATCACACCCACAACCCGACTCTCTCGCCGCCCCTACGATCCCTGGACTGCGCCTCCAAGAAGGAACACGACATGGATGTGTCGGCGCCGCCCGAAACAGGGGACCTAGGCTTTCACATAGGAAGGAATGGAAGGAGGGGGAGAAGGATCCTCACCACAGCCTCCAGGGAGGGTACGGCACCCAGAGCGTCGCCTCTGGTGTGGCTGCGTTGGCCAGGGGTTTCCACCGGATCCAACCCCACTCGACAAGATCCGCGCTGCCGGTGCCTGGGAAGAACGGCCTAAGCCACTAGGACCCGGATCCGGCGATGGAAGGAGCAGATCGGGGCGGAGAGGATGAGATGCATCTTGCGGTGGCAACCGCGCGGGGGAGGCCGCACACCAGCGACCGTGGACCGACGCCTCCTCGTCCCCCGTGAGACCGAGGGAGCCGCCGCCCCGGATGCCGAGGCCCTCCACGCTATGTGGAGCCGCCAGATCCCTTGCCACCACCTTCATCGGTGTCGAGCGTACGCCGGCGCACACCTCTGGCGGCGGCGGAGGGGAAGGGGAGGGGGGAGGAGGGGTGCGGCGGCGGAGGTTAGGGTTTCCCCCGAGTTGCCTCTAAGGAGATGACGCAGGGGCGGGGGAGGGGGGGTCTACTGCTACCGTGCAGGAAGAGTTGAAGTCCAGTATCTGAACTTTCATAATAATTTTTGCTATAACATCATATTTTCTTAAATTTTAACTAGCATATTTACATAAAGATGAACAACCGAAGTTGTACATGGATGACTAGGTCTATGCCTACAATGGCTACTACTACATAACATACCTATTAGCACCGCGTGTCGCACACTAAGGCATCAGAAATGTGTGCAAGAAACATTGCACACGGTTGTTTAGAAACGCTTGTGTGGCATATGATAGACAAAATATGTACTTGTTCACCATTTGCAATGTGGTCATTCACATCAAAATTGATGATAGATAGACCACTGTGCAAATATATCGACCCAATAGACCCATTTCAAGGATGGTATATATTTCGCAGAATGACCCACACCGCACCGCGGACCAGATCCTGCATAGTCACCACCATTTCTCTATATCTCTCTCAATTCCTCAGGGCGAGCTTCTAGAGGTCAGGGAGGTGGCCTCCTCGGCGAGCCACTTGAGATCCTATAACGGTGTGATCAGTAGCTTGTTGTCTCTCAATAGGCTGAAGGACTCTCTAGACGAGGGTGTCGACATAACCCATTATCCTCTCCGCTCTCTACAAGGAAGCTGAGGACTCCAACTCCACCGGTGGGTGTGGCCCAAACGAAGACGAGCTCACCGTGAGCAATGGTGGAGGCAAGCCGTGCAGCTTTTTTTTGTTGGCATACACATCAGACATGGGTACCGACGATAACCTTACCTCATTACGGCCACAGGTGCCCCAACCATTGTGGTGTATGTTTTTGCATGTTTCTAATGTACCAAACTATAATAGTGGTCATGCATTTACGAAAAATATTTATTAAAGCATCTCATCAATTACATGCTCATAGCCGGAGTACACATGTGTGCCATAGTTTCCTATCCGACACTATATACAACAGACACGAGTCACTGTGCATTTAACGAAGGGAATGTTGCAGCTCATTTTTCCTGATAGTAATGATGCTTACCTTATTTGCGGAAGACATATTATGATAATTATCTATTTTTTGGCTCGCCTTTAGTCTTAAGATTTGCTGGTCTTGTCTCCTGAAGGTGATCATAGGGATGGGCTATGAGTGTGTGTGTTCACAGAGGCGAGTGTTCGTGCATGTATGTGAACGTCTGCCTTTTGTACTGTGTTTCTCAAAGAAGAAAATATAATAGAGTCTCTATCTATGATATCTTCGTAGTTGTATAAGGGTGTTTGATCAGTAATTCAAAAGGAAAAATGTACATTGGGAAGTGGTATGCATATGAGGTGATCGGCTTCTCCCCTCCCTAGTGTCGCCCCTCGGTGGCGACCCGGGGGCGAAACCCTAGCACTGTCCACCACCTCCCCCTCCCCTTCCCCCTTCTCGCCGCTACCTGAGGGGTCACCGGCTGGGCCGTGCGACCACCAAGGAAGGTGGCGGCGCGGCTCCTCTCCGCCCCATGGTTCGTGTAGGACACTGGATCTGGGGCGGCGGCCCTAACAGCGAGGGTGGCGCGTGCATGGCAGTAGGCGGCGGTCACTGGCACACGGAGACGCATCCTTGGTTGCACGGGCAACGAGGAGGCGGTGGTCGGCGGCTCGGTGCGGGAGCTGACTCCGCCGGTTCCCTGCGCCAGATCTAAAGAGGGCAGCATCTCCGTGCGCGCCCCGGCGAGCCCCATCTGCTCAGGACTCCGGCGTCCTCTGGTTCGTCGG